CAGCAGGAGAGAACTTGCCAAACAGCCAGCCAGTGCAGACCCCAAGTCTCAGGAAGGCTTCCAGGGGCGCCGCCTCCCTCCGCCAGGGCTCTTTGGGGCCACACTCAGCCCGGGGGCTGCTCCCTGTGGGACACCAGCGGGCAGAGAGGGGGCCAGAGGAAGCTGGACCTGGCGGGGACGCTGGTCCACTCATAGGGGTCTTAAGTTGCCCCTCTGCGTTGCTCCACACCCACCAACTCCCCCACCCTCTCTTGCTCTTCTCATCTCTTGCCAGGCATCGGCAGGTCCCGGAAAGACCCCGTCCCCAAAGCCCCTGTGGCCTCTGTGGCCGTGAGCGGGGGGGACCCCGCCACTCCTGCCCCTTCCACATCCACTGCTTGGGCCCCCATGGCCCCCAGCACCCCACAGCCCACAGGTGGGTGCCCAGCTACAGCCCCAGCTGCCCTGCCCTTTCCCACTTCTGGCCCGAGTCCCTGCCTCTCTCTGTGATGTGCGATGATGTGGGAGCATCAGCCCTGGGGAGGGCAGGGGCTTGGCTTTTAGAGTAGAGGATGCTAGATCCCAGAGCCGCAAAAGCATGGCGCCAAGAGCCCTCCGGGCTGCCTGGACACACCTGTCACTGGGCCCAGCCAGGGCATACAGGGCTCCCATGAAAGTCCTGCATCCTCTTCCTGCTGCCCACCCCCACCAGGGCACTGCTCAGCCTGGCCAAAAGGCGGGTGACCTAGCAGGGGGCGCCCAGGGGAGCCGGCCCAGGCCCCGCCCCCACCAGCCATCCTAGCCCGGGCTCTGCCCCCTGCCCATCAGCAGCTGACCCCCAGGAATGGACAGTGCAGGGTTAGCCAAGAAGGTAGACTCCTCAGATCAGCAAGGCGGAAGGGAGCCTCTGAGCTGGCGTTTTCAGACTCTGGGCTGCTGGGCCTTTCGGGGCGGGGCCAGGCCAGGGGTGTGTTCAAGGCTTGGGGTGCTGGGGTGGCCCCCTTGTCTCACCTGGCCTCACTTGGGGCATCCCACCGGCTCCTGCCTACCGCGAGTGCCAGGAGTCTTAAAGGACTCATCCCTCCCAGAGGATGCCGGGAAGATGTGGCCAAGGTCCCCGGTCCCCAACAGTGTGCCCCGCCTCTGCCCCACCCCCTCTGCAGGGAGGAGGTGGCGGGGTAGGGTGCCCCTTACTCCTTGGGCAGTGCCGTGCCCCTTCCTCTCTCTGACGCTCATGGACCTTTGGAAGGGTGGCGTTTCCAACGGGCAGAGACCCCTCCGTCCCCTGGGGAGGGATCCCTGACACTCCGGCTCTGGCCTGTTGGGGGTTGGTGCTCAGAACGCTCCCAGCCAGTGAATGCCGTGGAAAATGCCCAGCTCCTCCACTGGACCAGAGGGTATCACATCACACTTCTTTTCTTTCTACCTCCTTCCCTTCTCCACGGGAGACATCTGCAGGGGGCACGGGGCTAGCTGGGAGATTCGAGGATTTCAGGATGGCCTCTTGGCCCAGGAATCCTGTCTGGGGTGGAGGACATGTGTCACTCTGGAAATCCGGGCTCCGGACACAAGTTGGTCCAGCCCCCTGAGACTTGCGCTTTTTTTGCTAAGCTTGTGATGGGCACACGGGACCAAAAATAGTCGTGGTAGGTCCCGTGTCTGCCTGCAAACGGTGATCTGTCTGGGTGGGAGGCCAGATGCTCAGACACACACATTGAGGAACCCGGACCCCGTTTCTGGAGCTGCTTCTGACGTGGTACGAGGGGTGCAGACTGCAAAGCTAGGAATTAAGGAAAGCATCAGAGTCAGGGCAGTGAGCCTGGACGAGAGAAGGTTTGAATCGTGAGGGTCCCCAGGACTCAGGTGGTGAGAAGGACGTGCCCCTCCCTCCAGGCAGGACTGTCATTCAATGGGGTCGTGGTCCACTTTGCATCCTGAGTCCAGTGCCGGGCTGCAGGCATTAAGAGAAAAAGGCGGCTGCGGTGGCGGTGTGACAGCCGGTGACCTGAGTGTCCCAAGCCTTAGGGGTCATCAGTTCTCTTTAGCAACCGAAGCCTCTGCCTGGGCCCCCATTCCCCCCACCCCACGAATCATGACTCTCACTGCAGCTAGTGGAGCTCGGACGTCTCCTGGGCCAGTAGCTTGCACTCTATTCCTTGCTCTCAGCCCCATGAGATGGGGCTGTTATTTTCCTAGTCCCGTAGGTGAGGATATGAAGGCTTAGGAAAAAGCAGCTGGATTTTTATGGTATGTAAATTATACTTAATAAAGCTGTTCTAAAAAAAGAAAAAAGAAGCCGTTGCTCAAGGTAACAGGCAGGACCTGAACTCCGGGCTCACTGACTCCCGATGCTTCCTGCCCAGTCAGCCACCCAGTGCCACGGCCCCAAGGCCTCGGGGGTCTGGGAGGTGGTGCCGCCTTTAAGACCTGGCTTCTTGCACAGCTCCCCAGTTCCGAAGGAACAGACGGGGCCTCCATCTGGCCTTGGCAAGTGACACGGGTCATTGCGAGAAGGTTCCTCCTGCATACCTGAGCCTGTCCCTGGAGAGCCCAGTCTTTTCCACCCCCAGGCCCCCATGAAGGTCCTGATTCTCTCTGGGTACCTCCCAAGAAATGCTTCAGGCTCTCTGGCCCAAGTCCACCTGGGCCCTTGAACCCCTGGCCCAGATGTTTCTCCCTTCTGCCAGTGTCAAGCTGGGCAGGGGCTGCCGGCAGAAAGGCTGTTCGAGACCACTGACCCTCTCCCCAGCTTGGCCGCCGAGGGTGGTGGGAGAGAGGCTTCAAAGCACAACGCCTCCAGGGCGGGTTTATCGCGGCCCTAATTAAGCCCTTTGCCAATTTGGACACCAGCAACCTCTTCTCATTGAACATCGCATAAATGTCAATTTCACGTCCAGAGGCTCTTGGCTCCCAGCTGGAAAGTCTCCCACACTTCTTAGCTGGTAGATTTTCTTTTTCTTTCCCCACCAACCGGCATCGTGCGTAATCCCTTTAAGAAGCGGAAAAAATCCGATTTCTCCCTTGTCCCTCTGGGTTTGTCCTTAGAAATTCGGCACAGAATGATTCCTTGCCTTGCCAGCCCTACCTGCGTCCCCTGCTGTGTGTCCAGTTAGTCTTGGAGATGTGCACGGTGGCATTTGGGGGCTGACTCATGTTGGGGTCCCTGGTGAAAATGGGCCCAATCTAGGGGTCAGGGAGGATGCTCCAGTCCCTGGATTGGGGTTGGACAGGAAGAGGACCCTCTGGACACGTTTGATATCTTAGCCAGAACACATGCCCCCTTTACAGCCATTGGCCAGAGACTTTAGCGCAGAGAGGTCTGGGCCCAGATACACGGGACTTGATCTAACTCTAGCCTTCAGTGTGAACGGGGGCCACACAGGGAGGGAGATTCAAGAATCAGGTATCCCGCTGAAGAAAGGACTGCCCAAAGTGCGCAGATTCTCGGGCATGGGTCCCGCTTCCACCCGGTGTCCGTGTGCCCTTCATAGGCTGCTGTAGTGTAGACGCTGCCTCTCCTGTAGATTTGAACCCAGTTCTGTTTGGCCAGCGTAGGCAGAGCCGCTTCTTATAGTTCTGCTTCTTGTAAGGGGCCTGTATGCGGTGATGCCTCAGTAGGTCCCCAGAATACGCCCAGCCCCAGCCCCTTGCATAACTTGGTTTCTCCTCTTCTTTCCCCTAAGAGTGGATCAGGCCATCTACCGCTGCCCCGCTCTGGGCGAGCGCCCCCTGGCCCCAGGTGTCCTCCAGTGCAGAAGGTATGGGGAGCGGGGAGCTCCTTCTGAGGCTAGTGGAGGGAGCAGGGGCACGGGGTGGGGACGCAGGGTGGCAAGGGGCCCAAGGGCGCCGCGGGGAGGGGCCTTGGAGCTCTGCCTGCCCCTACCCCCAACTCTCACCTACTTAGCCCGAGTGATATCACCACACCCGACCCTTTTCAGTCCTATACTCTAACCCTAACCCTAAGCCCCAAGGGCTTCTGAGGCAAGTGGAGACCCTGTCCTGATAACAGTAACCCTCTCTCTCCCACCATCGTGCTCACAGGACACCCTGGGCGAGGTGGAGCTCAGGGTCAGAGAGGGCTTCCTGCAGGGGGTTGGCTGTGAGTAGATGAAGGGGGAAGGTAGCCTTCCAGGCGGCAGGACCAGCTGGGGCAAAGGCTTGGCGGTGGGATGGCAGGGAGCAGCCGCCTGACCGAGCGAGATGCGGGGAGGGGTCGCGGAAGGCACTGAGACCAAGCCCAGAGCCTCATTCTCCCACCGCAGTGGGAAGAAACACGTGGGGGTCCACGGGCTCATTTGTAGCCATCGTGGACACACCCAGGAGGCACACAGGGCCTGCCTGAGTCTCCAAGATGGGACGCTGTCCCCGGTCCCGGCTCACGGTTCCCTGGACGTTAAGCCCTAATGCCTGGCTTAGGCAGCAACCCAGCCCACACCTCCAGTTCCCCTCCCGCGCCAGCTGTGAGTGGTGAGCAGGGCTTTGGGCGCCCCCTGCTGGCAAGCAGTTCCGGAGCCGGACCCACAGCGGTGAGGGTCTGCAGTTCCCAGCAACCTGGCCGGCCTCTGAGTCAGGGCGTCCTCCCCGGAGAGCCCGCTGGAGCAACCACTTCCCGGCCCTGGACCCACTGGGGCACGACAGCCTCCCAGGCGGAAGCCGAGGAGACCGTGGCATGCTCCCCCGCAAATTCGGGGCTGGGATTCTGGGCAGTGGAAGGCAGGGCAGTCTGTGCTCATGTCTGGACGGCACCTGCCAGAGGGGAGTCCATGGACGGTAAAGGACTCACTCTGGCTGGAGCAGGGAGCTTGCTTCAGAAAGGAAGGGAGATGGCCAAATCTCGAATACCAGCTACAGACGCTGGATGTGATGCTGCCGGGAGTTTGGAGAGGAGAGGGGACAGCAAGAGTACCAGGGTGTGCAAAGCAATGTTTTCAACCAGTCAAAAAATTGTCCAGCTTCAGCAAAGTATTTAGCACAATATGAGGGATGCTGCAGATAGAGAATACTTTGGAAGGATTCATCCAGCTGGATGTGTAGATGGTGTCCAGGGCGGGACCAAAGGCAGGCCTGGTTCTGCGTGCTCCTGGTTGTGCTGTGTCGTCTCTGAGCAGGTGACAAAGCTGCTCAGAGCTTTTGCCCAGGGCACCTTGGGAGCCTGTGCTGAGCTTTACCTCGACCAGGACAGCCCACCCTGGGCAGCTGGACCACAGCTGATGAAAGAGCTTCTTTCTCATCTCTCCAAGCTGCGGGCACCTCCGCTGCTGCCCCCGCCCCTGCCAAGGCCTCCAGACTTTTCCAGCTCAGGCCCAAATCTCCTCAAGTGATGCCTATTGAAGAATTCGAAGGTAAGAGGAAGGCCCCGGGGCTGATCAGCCCCTCCTCCGGCCCCTCTCCCCCCACCTCCACTGGAAAAAACAAAACAAAACAATGCAGTGCGTGTGGACAGATGCCCCCTCCCCGAGTAGCTGGGTCAAGGTGAAACGGAGCCTCTCTCGCCTCCAGTCCCCCCTCCCCAAGGGAGCTGGGAGCAGGTATGAGTCAGAAGTACAGCGGGCTAGCACAGGAGCTGCCAGGAATAGCCGGTCCTGGCTTCCCTGGGAGGTGTGGCCTAGGGGCTCGTCTTGGCTGAAGCAAGATCTGGGACACAGGGGTCACTGACAGTACTCCTTGGGACACCTGGAAGATGCCTCACCTTCTCACTGTCCCTGGAGGGACAAGGTGAAGGGGACGGGCCCAGGAGGCCATGGTGTGGGAATGCTCACCATCTCCTCCTGGGCACATGTCAGAGGCTCATTTCTCCAAGGTCTCCCATGCCCTTGACCCTGACATCTGGTCAGTCCCTCCTTCTCACATCACAAAATGGGGGTTGGATCCTCTAGAGATACACAGATGGTGTCTCACAGAGGGGGGGCTGGCATCCTTTCTTGTTCAAGGGGGTGTTGAGCCTCTTAGGAGGGACACCAAGGGATGCCCCCCTCTGTGGCAGGGAAGGTGACCCTCCTCACCAAACCCCGCCCCTTGATGATGTCATGGGAGCCACCTCCAAACCCCGGGACTTTGCCCCAGGTGGTCACAGGTGCCTCCAGTGAGAGTCAGAAGCTGGGCCAGGGCTAGGAGGAGTCAAGGTGAGATGCTCGGGGCACAAACCTTAAGGCAGCACTCACTCTCAGGGTCGTACAAGAGCAGGCCCTCTGATGCCAATGAGATTTGCAGAACAGCTCAGGCTGCAAGAAAGGGTCCTGCAGGTGGGTGTTTTCCTCCCAACCAACTTCCAAAGCAGCATGGGGAGGAAGCTCCTGGTCCTTTCCATCCTCTCCAGCGTTCATGCATGCGTCTACCGTTCATTGAATCACTGGGGTACCGTGGTGAACGCCATGAACCCAGGCATCGCCCTCCCTGAGCTCACGGTCTGACGGCATGACCCATCTTCCCTGCATGAATCATGTCTAACCACCCCCAGCATCATGAGGGCCTCCCTCCAGAAAGCACTTTGCCCTGGTACCCGGCCAGGCTTTTAGCGGATGCTGCCCACTGGCCCTCCCTGGTGCCCTGTCCATGGGGCCAGGTGGTAATCTGTGAGCTGGGCCTACGCTGGTTCTCATTCGGGCTCAAAGCTGGCAGGCCCATCTCTCCCCACATGGTACAGAAGTGTCAGAGACCCAGGGCATCGTCCTGTGCCAGGTCCTACCCCTGGCCTCAGTTTTCCGGAATGCACCAGGGAGGGGGCAGCGAGAAGGCACACTTTCCATTTGTTCTCTGACCCTTGGTGTTTCTCACGTGACCCTTGGTGTTTCTCACGTTTGGCCGCGGCCCAGACTGCGAGTGCTATGGCCACTCCAATCGCTGCAGCTACATCGACTTCCTGAACGTGGTGACCTGCGTCAGCTGCAAGCACAACACACGAGGTCAGCACTGCCAGCACTGCCGTCTGGGCTACTACCGCAACGGCTCCGCGGAACTGGACGACGAGAACGTGTGCATTGGTGAGCCCTCGGCTGGGAGGCGGGGGCCCCGCACGTGAGTGTGTGGACCAGGGTGCAAGGCGGAAGAGCAGCGTTAGACGGGGCCTGGACACCCCTGCATTGGAATCCCCGGGGGAGGCTGGGGAAATGCCAATTCCAGGGCCCACTCTATATACAGAAGCCTCCAGAATCCGCTCTATTAATAACCTACCTCCCCATGTGGTTCTCCCTGCACGCACTGGCATTTCAGAACCACTAGTTCCAGTCAAAGACAGGTTCTAGGGCTTGCCTGGCTGTGTGCCTTTGGGCAATTCTCTTCCCCCCTCTGGGGCTGTTTGTAAAATAGGGAGGTGGATCAGATCAAGGGTTTTCAACCGTTTTGGGGGGGGCTGAAGCTTTTCTTCAAATGAATTCTTTTCTCACGCTTTATATGCCCTCCACCCGCAGTGGGCAGACGGTTGGCTTTCTTTAAACTCTGCTCCAGGACTGGCTTTTGGGATAAAGAAGGAAATCTATAGGGGCCCTGGGCCCAGGCAGAGGCAGGCCATCCCAAAAGACCGAGCATGTGGCCCACAACCAACACCCACTAGTCTGGAAGACGGTCTCCAGTAGAGGCCAGTTCTCAGCCCTCGGATGCCCAGCGCCTTTGGGAACCCATTGCCCATCCCCCGCCCAGCAGGCCAGCCCAGGCTGTGCACAGGAGGGGCTGCCCGCAAAGCTGCAGCTGTCAGTCTGAATTATGGCAGCGGCCTTCAGATAATTTCATCACAACTCTAAAGTGATCCCAACGGAACTGTGCTGCCCATGTCACACCAGCCAGCAGCAGGGACAGGGCAGGGCCTCTGGATCCGATTAGAGGCGTGCCTCCTCCCCCAGCGCCTCCTTTTGCCTTGCCTGTCTGCCTCCGCCCCCCACCCCCGGGCCCGGCACTAGGCGACAAGGACTCCCAGAGTGGGGGCTTTCGGCTTCTCCCACGGAGCAGGGCGAGCTGGAGGCCTCTGGGGCTGCTCCTCCACCAGCCCTGGAGAGGAGCTTCGGAGGCCGACTACACCCTGCCCCCTCTGCACACACACCCCAGCCCCCAGGACGGATGGCCGGTGGCCTCTGCTGAGGCTCCTCCCACCTGTCAGTCATAGCTCTTCGGAGCCGGGAGGGATCAGCGCCCGTTCCAGTTACAGAAGCGGAGACGCAGGCCCAGGGACGGGAAGGGGCTGGTCCGGGCCACGCAGCGCCAGGGCCAGAGAGGGAAAGGGGCTTAGTGGATGTGAGAAAATGAACTGTCCCCTCGAGATCTGGACGCCCCAGGCGTCACCACCCCGCCGTCCAGCGGCGGGTGCGGAGATCCGGCTGGGACGGTTGCCGGGGCCGGGCGGGGTGGGTCCGTGCGGACGGCGCCCACACGTCGCCCCTGATCGCTCGCCGTGCGCGTGTCCCTCCAGAGTGTAACTGCAACCAGATCGGCTCCGTGCACGACCGGTGCAACGAGACCGGCTTCTGCGAGTGCCGCGAGGGCGCGGCGGGGCCCAAGTGCGACGACTGCCTCCCCACGCACTACTGGCGCCAGGGCTGCTACCGTGAGTGCGCGCCGCCCCCCTGTGCGGGGCCGCGTGCTGTGGGGCCCGGGGCGGGGCGTCGAGGCCGCCCAGGTCGGGTCCGGGTCGGTGGGTGGGTCCCGGTCGGTGGGTGGGTCCCAGGGGCGGGACCTGGCGCGTCCGGGGCGGGGCCCGGTGGGTGGGCGGGACCTGGTGTTGCCCGAAGCCGGTTCCGGGTGGTGGGCGGGGCCTGATGCTAGCCGGTGTAGAGTTGGTAGCGGGAAGGGGTTTGGAGGCCAAAGTGGAGCCGGGGGTTGGCTGCAGTTGGCTGGAGGCGGCCGGATTTGCGGGGAGGGAGGGAGGGAGGCAGTCCGAGGAAGTGAGGGGCTGGCGGAGACCCGACGTTAGCCACGGCAAGAGGGTGGAAGGGCGCCCCAGGCACGTGGAGCAGCACGTGCTAAGCTCTGGACGGGAGAGCAGGTGCGTCTGAAGAACCGCACCAAGGCCAGTGCCGGGGCCGGAGCTGGGAGAAGCCGGGCAGCGGCGGGAGGGAGGCAAGGGCCCGGTCTCGCGCGGCCCTAGGTACCATCCCTGCCGGGACTCTTCGCGCCAATGCGCCCTGAGCCTCCAACACCCCCTGGTCCGGGCCGCACCACCAGTGTTCGCACGTCCCAGGGGCTGAAGCTCCAGCGCGGGGCGGGTGAGGGAGGGCTGGACCGGGCCGCCACCCGAGTTAACCGCCCCTCCGCCCCGCAGCCAACGTGTGCGACGACGACCAGCTGCTGTGCCAGAACGGCGGCACCTGCGTGCAGAACCAGCGCTGCGCCTGCCCGCGCGGCTACACCGGCTTGCGCTGCGAGCAGCCCCGCTGCGACCCCGGCGCCGCGGACGGCGGCCTGGACTGCGACCGCGCGCCCGGGGCCGCCCCGTGCCCCGCCACGCTGCTCGGCTGCCTGCTGCTGCTGCGGCTGGCCACCTGCCTGGACTGCTGAGACCCGCGGAGAACCCCCGGCCGGGCGGGGGGTGGTGGTGGTGGAGGCGGTCCGTGCGCCCCGCCGCGCCCTGCGCCCCGCGCCCGGAGAGCCGGGAGCCCGGGGGCCGGCGTCGGAGGCCCGGCGGCCAGAAGGGTGCGGCCCGAGCTGCTCCCAGGTGCTACTCAGCAGAGTCCTCTCGCCCCGTCCCCCCCGAAGTGGCACCTGCCCCCGCCCCGGCGCTGCGGCAGGGGATGCTGTGTGGTCGCGGCCCCAGCGGCCCGCGATTTCGGTCTTAGTTTTTCTTTTATATTACCCACCGACCCTTTCCTTTTTTTTTGCTGGCGGTGAGACAGGGGGGTGGGAGAAGCGCTGTTCATCCCAACAGCCCCAGGTCCTGCCTCCTGCCTCCCTCTCCCCACCCCCACCCCCACCCACACACACACACACACGACTGTTGCAGACACCCCCTGCGCCTGTCCCTGGCTCACCATCAGCCAGCGGACCCGAAAATCCAGTTGCCTACACCTCTAGTCGCTGACTTGATTCTCTTTTCTATTCTTTGTTTTCCCTTACAACCCACGAGACCCCAGGCCTTTCTAGAGGCCTGGTGACCAAGGAGCTCGCTGTCTGGGGAAAGGGAGTTAGGAAGGAGGGCTGGGAGGGCTGGAAACTTCCTTTTGTAGAGAACTATTTTTGTTTGTATTAACCGCCCCTATAAGGAGGGACAAGAGTGGGGACGCTGGACACCACGGGGGTGGTTGATGGTGTATAATCTGACAGTAAAGAATCTGCTCACTGCTGCCTCCAGGGCCTGTTTTCTTTCTGTTCTTTTTTACCCAGCAAGTGTGGGAGTTAAAGGGGAGCCCACAAAATAGCCTTAAAGAAGCAATTTCACGCTCAAGGCCGTCCCTTCCCCAGGCCCTTCTGTGAATGACAGGCAGGCGTAGCCACTGGAGCTCTCTCACCATGTGGCCAGGCCTGGCCCTGCAGAGACCTACAGTGTTCCCCAAACTTGGGAGGTTATCTCCCTCCTCCCCCCCGCCAAAAAAATCTAGAGCTTATTGGCACTTTACCTTGGTTGTCCTCAAATTTAAAAGCATGTGGTGGACATTGATACCTTTGATGAAAAGTGCAAGGCAAGCGACTGGCAGAGCCGTCTAACAGGGCTCGACTCTGATGCTCCTGTTTATAAATCAGGATGGGGGGCGGTCCTATCAGGCCTGCTGGACCCCAGCCTCAGGCCCAGTGTCTGCTGCTGCCACCGCCTTCCAGAGCCCCCTGATGGTCACATGCCAGGGTGGGCACAGGCTGGTGGAGGCGGCAACGCAAAGACCCACAGCCGACCCCCCTCTCCTCTCTCCTT